AGCTGAGGGGGGGGGGAACCGGCTATAGAATTCTGGCCTTCCTTGCCCCCATCCCCCCAATAAATCGTATAGGCCAGAAAAAAAAAAAGTTCTTTTCTCGCCACATCCTCTCCAACATGTTTTACTTGCTGACCTGTTAAACTTTGCCACTCTTACTGGAGTGAGATGGTACCTCAGTGGGCAAAAAACATAGAAAGAACTTTCACTGAGGAAGATATTCGAATGGCAAACAGACACATGAAGAAATGCTCCAAATCATTGGCAATGAGATTATTTTTTTTTTTTTTGTAAATCCATGCCCAGAAGCCCCTGGCCTCTCAGGTCTCTCGCTGCAGTTCCCCAGTTTGGCCGCAGGGGGCGGAGTCTGCGGCGGCCTGGAAAACCGGCTGAGACGGGAGACGCCGCTCTCTCTCGGGTCAGGATCTCGGCTCCCGGCTCCCGGTTCCCAGCGCTCGGCGCCGAGGTATTCCCTTAGGCGACGCGCGGGACGGACAGAGGACGGTGGAAGGTAGCGTCACCGGATCCGTCCGCACTCCTCAGCCCCGCTGAGCCCTGGAGGCCTCCCGGATGGAGCCGCTGCTCCCGGTCGGAGCTCAGCCCCTGGCCGTATCCGCCCGAGAGGAGGGGGAGGGGAGGTGGAGCCTGAGGGTGGGGGCCGGGGGGACTGCGGAATCCTGGGGATGGGGGTCGGGGACGGTGGGGCCCAGAGGTCGAGCTAGGCCAGGGGGGCGTCGGAGGTGACATTGGGGGCTTGGGAGGAGGGTGGGCAGCAGAACTGCACCGCGCTCTCCTTCCCGGCCGCGCTTGTAGAGAGGAGACCCTTAACCAGAGCCTACAGACGGTGGAGGGTGTGGAAATGAGGGGGCCTCACCGGGAGCCCTGCTCCCTAACTCTAGCCCAGAGGAAAGGGCAATATGAGTAAGTAACCACTTGGTCCCAAACAGGAGGGGAGCCTGCCATTACCCCGACCCCGACCCCAACCCGCGACCATCCAGCCACCCTCCTGCCCACCGGGGCCATGCGGGCAACAGGTCCAGGTGTGAAGCGCGAGTGCCCCGTTCCCGCGGCATGGTGCCCCCAGTTCCCAAGCCACTAGCGTGCTCAGGCAGGGTGGCTCAGTGGGAGGACCCTTTGGGCTGGGAAGCAGGAAGCCTGGGTTCCTTCCCCTGCAACTGACTTGTGTAACCTTGGGCACGTCAATAAAGCCTGCTTAATTTCCCCGTCATTTAAATAAAAATATAAACTGCCTTACCTCTTGGGAAAGTGTCATTTCAAAAATGGAAAGTCCTATAGAAATGTTTCATTGTCAGAGTTATCAGACTTAACCTTTTCGTAACCCCATTTAACCGGTATCCTCAATCCCCTGCCCCCATTCCACAAAATCCATCCAAAGACTTTTCACAAAATCCAAAGACTTCACAAAATCCAAAAACTTCCAAATTGTTCTAAGGCATTAACTCAGTAAGGGTAGAGTTGAGGTCTCGCATTTTGATTTGACTGTGAGAGAAAAGGTTAATCCTGTGGAAGTATAAATGACCTTTGACATTTTATCAGTGTCACCTTTGCACATGGAAGTTCAATTAATTTTGATAAAGTATCACTCATGCTAATCAGGGTAATCTCATTCCCTTGTCCCTAAAACTTCATCTCAGAATTATCCATGGCCCCTTTCTTTCACTGTGTGCCCAAGTTGCCTCTTTTGGGTATCCACTGGTTTCTTGACCCCTTAAATCCTGCCATCTTACAGTACCACATTCTGCTTAGGAATAGTTTCTCTCGGTTCCCATTTTCATATTCTCCAGACTTAATCTGTGACTGGCTAATTTACACAGAAGAAATTGCCACTGGCCTACACGATCTTTGTCAACAATTGTTGGCATCACTTTAAAGGGACATTTTATTCTTTACTAGAGCCTTTTTGATGATGGCGCAGTATAGGGCAAGGTTCTGATCTCTTAGGGTCGTTGTGAGTCCAAATGGACTCCACAGCCCCTAACAACAACAACAGGTCCTGCTTGGTCAGTTCTGTTGAGGTAAGAAATTAATTTTATTTCCCAAATTGTCTCAAACAACGCAAGACCAGGAAAGCGAATTGAATCCTGCAACATCACGGCCACTTCCAAAGGCTAAGATGAGATGGGGGAATCCACAGACCTAGATTGAAATCTCAGTTCTCCCACTCTTGAAATGTTACCTTTGAGCAAACCAGAAACTTACATGTGCCTCGGTTTCCTGTTCTGTAAATACAAGATAATGAAGAGGAAATAAAATAGCTCCCTTAGGAGATGAAAGGTTCCCTGGTGACACAGTGGATTAAACATTAGTCTGCTAACAGAAAGGTCTTTGGCTCAAACCTACCTGCTGCTCTGCAGAATGAAGGTGAGACAGTAAAAGCTTTTACCTGTAAAAGATTTACAGCATTGAAAACTCAAGTTCTACTCTGCCTCATAGGCTCACTATGGCTTAAAATACAATGGCATTGGGTTTGGTTTTTGGTTTAAATGAGTGAGCAATTGGTCTTGAGAAAAGTTCCTCATCCTGTGTGAGGTCTTATACTAGAAGTACTTTAAATTTAACAACAGCAGCAGCTCTCCTGACTATTTGTATCCTCTCCACAGAGAAATCAAATTCTTGTGTTCTATTTCTGTATTAATCACTAGCAGCAACCAACATTTAGTGGATTAATATGTGCCAAGTATTATTCACAGCATTTTTTTTCCTGAAATCCGCTTATTTACCCTAATATGAGGATGACTAAAATAGGAAAATCATCATCTCTCCCATTTTTTAAGTGTAGAAATTGAGGTACAGAGAGATTAAATTCCTTGTTCACAAGAAGTATGGGTAGGTCTTTGCTATCACTTGTTATGCATCAGAGAATTGGACAATAACTAAGGAGGAAAAAAATAAAAAGAGAATTGATGCCTTTGAGCTGTGGTGCTGGAGAAGATTATTGAGGGTACCATGGACTTCTAGGAAAACAAACAGATTCATCCTGGAAAGGCTTAAACTGGGTGGCTCCCTGGAGGCAAGGATTCTGAGGCTCCACCTGACATGGTTTGGACATGTAAGGAGGGACTGGTCCTTGGAGAGGGACATCATGCTTGGGAGGGTGGAGGGACAGCACAGGAGAGGAAGACCCTCTATGAGGTGGATTGATTCAGTGACTGGGGCAATTGGGATGGGAGTGTCAGAGACAGTGCGATTGGCACAGGACAGAGCGGAGTATAGGGCTGTTGTACATAGGGTCGCTATGAGTCGCAACAACATGGCTTTTGAACCCATGCAGCATAGCTCTGATGCCCCAGCTTTTAGCCACTACTCTATGCTCCCTCCTGTCTAGGTTTTTGTATGCCAACAAATCAGAACAAACTCATACTTGAGCCTGCAGGTGGTTTTCAGAGACAGTTAATCGCATGAGAGGAGATTGCCCATGCTTTGGGATTGGCAGCTAGGTGGTGGTATTGTTATGTACTGTCGAGTCAGAATTGCTCATAGTTGACCCTTCAGCAGAGGGTCAAGTTTTCAGAGGCTATAAATCACATGGGAGGAGATTGCTCATCTTTCTCTTGCAGGGCAGCTGGAGTATTCGAACTGCATGCCTTTAGGTTGGCAGCACAGCCTCTTACCACTAGGCCATCAGAACTCACTTCCCATCTAGGTAGGAAACCTTCAATCTCAGTTAGTAACCTATTCCATAAATATGTTATCCATGGAATTTTTTTTGGAATAACTTCTTGGGAACCCCCTAATACTATAATACTATCTCTGATCTAAAATTTGTCTTTTGAGTGCCTTCTCTGACTTGGTTGTCTAGTATTACTGTTACCGGTATTCCTATTTACGCTCACCTTTTTATCCCACAACTTGAAACCTATCTTATTCTTTGAGGATATAATGTTCACAGTTATAGGAAAACTTTGCTAGTGAGGCCAAAATTATAGTTAAAAATAAAGGGTGTGTTGCTACTCGAGTTCAGTGTTTTCAAGAATAATAGGTTGTGATAGAAACTGTTGTTTCCCCTTAAACCTACCTTAAATCATTTTTCTCTTAGGGATAATTGATAGTTTGTCAAATACTCTTCTGTTTGAAACAACCAATTTTTTATTCCATTCTTTTGCCTTATACTTTATGTGTGTGTGTGTGTGTGTGTGTGTGTGTGTGTGTGCATGTGTATATGTGTGTGTTTATATATACACACACATCCTCACTGTTCGGAAGTGAATGATTATAAATTTAGGTAGAGGTTTTTTTGCTTGTTTTTAGCCCTTTCACTTTAGTGAGTAACAAACATGTAGTAGATACTCACTAAATGTAGAATTGTTTGTAAGAGTTTTTAGCAACACATCTAGTTACCAGTTTCTTGGCTTAATGCTAGTTGGCCTCCAAGTAAGCTCCTCCTCTTTCACTCTTTTATCAGTTCTCTAGTCTCCCTCCAGGTATGCAGGGCTCTCTAAATTGCGAACATGCCATGTTGGAAAAAACCCTACTCCATGTTCTCCAATCACCTTAGAATGTAAACCTCGACAAATTAGGCCTACAAGATCATGGCAGAAAGAAAGCATTAGGACTTTTCTTTTTTTCTAAGAATCTTGGTGACACAGTGACTAAAGTGCTCAGCTCTTAATCAAAAAGTCAGTGGTTCAAATCTCCCATCTCTTCTATGGGAGAATGATGTGGTAGTCTGTTTCCATAGTTACAGCCTTAGAAACCAAATGAGACTCTTCTACTCTATCTTTTAGGGTCGCCACGAGGCAGTGGTTGAGTTTAGTTCTATTCAAGCAATCCCTTTCATGAATTTTAGCACTTAAAAAAGCAAAACAACAAAAACGAAAACAATAAGCCCTGCAAAAGACAATAAATAAAAATCAAAACCTTCCAAACACAGTAGTGGCAGAAGTTGAATAGTAATTATTTGAAAATTAGCCTCTATGATTATAGTCCTGGGAACCTAATGAGGCAGTTCTGTCCTGTGGAGTTGTTGTGAGTTGGAATCGACT